ATAAAATTCTAGAAAGAAAGCACACCAGTAGTTGCCTGGGTACTGGGATGTGGGACAGGAGAGGGGGATGACAAAGGGGCATGAGGCCATTTTTGGGAGTGATCATATATTCATGATCTTGATTGTCGTGATAGTTTCACAGGGGTACGCATAAGTTAAAATTTAAACTTTAAACATGTGCAGACTATTGCATGTCAATTATACCTTAATAAAGCTAATAAAGTAGATGATGATAGGTAGACAGATGGGGGTGGCCTTTTAAGGTGAACGAGAGAAGAAAGGGGACCCAGCCAAGTGATTTAGGACAGTTGGGTTGGGGCCTGGGGAGAAAGCCAGAGAGTATATTGTGGATTTCTGTGGGACCACAGTGCAGAGGGGCGTTTTTAGAGGGCAGCCCTGATAAGACGGCTTCCAGGGTTGAGGAGATGCGCAAGGCTAAGACCCGAGTCCCACCCCATACTAATTTCCCAGCTGCAGCATAGATCTGTTTTTGACCCCTCTGCAATAGAGAACTTGAAGTGGTTAAAAGACTGGGGCAGCCCTGGGTTCATGTACTAGCTCTGCTCCTTTTTGTTTGTTTGTTTTTTGAGACAGGATCTCACTCTGTCACCCAGGAGGGAGTGTAGTGGCATGATCATGCTTACTGCAGCCTCGACCTTCTGGACTCAAGCGATCCTCCCATGCCAGCCTCCCGAGTAGCTGGGACCACAGGCGTGTGCCATCATGCCCAGCTAATTTTTTATTTTTATTTTTTATAGAGATGGGGTCTCGCTATGTTACCCAGGCTGGTCTCAAACTCCTGGGTTCAAGTGATCCTCCCACTTCGGCCTCCCAAAGTGTCAGGATTATAGGTGTGAGCCACCGTGCCTGGCCTGACTCTTCTCCTTTTTAACTTTGTGGACTTGGCAGGTGAAGCCCCCTTTCTGAGCCTCAGTTTTCTCATCTGTAAAATGGGGATAGTAAGAAGTACCTACAATAAAGTGTTTGTGAGACATCGTGAAATAAAGGTACAGAGTGCTTAGCAAACTGTGTGGCACATAGTAGGCACTGAATAATAGTTTTTTTTTATATACAATATTTAAGAGATTAAGAGCTGGGACTGTGGAGTCAGGCCAACCCAAATTCAAATCCCAGATAATCAACTTCGAGCAGGTGATTTAAATTCTCTGAGTTTCATCTCCTCATCTATAATCTGGAGACAATACATATGCATTGGTTAGGAGCCTGGAAGGAAACAGAGGGCACACTCAAACTGAGTAATTTGAGGAGAGTTTAACAGATTATTTGCACAGGTGTGGGCAGAATTTAGGACTATCAACAGGGTAGAGTGCGATACCTGGGTTGGCAAAGGGAGGCACTGTTACTATCCCTGGGCTTGCCAGGACTAGAAGGGGCAGTTGCCAAACCTGGAAAGGGGGAGCTGTATGGAGAAGGTCACCCAACAGGAGATGTGGCATTTGAAAGAGGCACAGCCAGCCCACAGCAACATAGAAAGGAGAAGTGTGGGGGACAAGTGTCCCAAATTCATTGTCTTCCTTCCTCCGATCTCCTGCCAGTGCCTCTTCTCTCCTTAGACAAACCCAACTAGGGGCCAGAGGGCATGGGAGCCAACGGGAACAGCTCAGCCCCAAAGGCTCAGAGAAAGAGGACAAAAGGATGAATGAACCTAGAGTGACGAAAAGATTACATTCAATAGGTAAAGGTCCAATCTCATGGGACTAATAGCAACTCCTGAGTAATCAATGAGATCATGGTAATAAAGCATCTAGCACATAGTAAGGCTCCCCTAAGTGGCAGCAGCCCATGGTTACCCTGGAACCAACCCTAGCTAGATTCTCAGGGTTGCTGCCAGGCCAGCCTTGACCCAACCCACAGTGCTGGGAATGGAACAGAGCTGATCTTCTCCTACATTCTGTGTTTACTTAGAGAAAACTTGGCTGCTTAGAGCCAGAAGAGGTTGACTGTGGTTTTCTGCAACAGCTGGGGGTGAGGGGAGGCAGAGAGAGGGGAGCTGGAACATATTAGGAGTCCTGAAAGCCAAGAGACCCCAGAGCCCGGGAATCTGAGAAGAGTCCACACGCCGAACAGCATTTGCTTGCTGTCTCTCTGCCAAGAGATTGTGGATTTCAGGGCTGAGTGGCATGTCCTGGGACCTCATCTCCAGGAGGCAGGGCCACGGGGCTGCACCCAGCGCCGGGCTATGTGGAATGTGCCGCTCTTGGAAGCGACTGAGGCTCTCGCTTTTTAAAATTGGCCTGTAAATCTCCGTATAGTTTTCAGGGTTTAAGAATTTTATTTTATCTGGATTAAAGTCATGTTCTGCTTTGGCATCGGAAGGCGTTTATGACTGTTAAAACAAGAAATGAAAAATATAGGCTTGGAATCAGAGAGGCTGCCTCCTGCCAGACTTTTAGGGGTTTGTCTCGGGGGCCAGGCTGAAGGTTTTCTGCCCCTTCTCTGACTGCTCTGGTGTTTCTTGATAAAGTTGGGGCTGCCTGAATCTGAGCAGCAAACGCAACAGCCTGGGAGGGTCTGTTAGGAAGGAAACCTGTATCTTTGCTTAGGTGAGCTCTACCATTCGCTGTTTTCCCCCTCTAGGGAAACGCACGCTCTCTGGAGCACTGTTTAAAGGGTTTTCTCACATTGCCGGCACCTGGCTGCACTTGGTCTAGGAGACAGATGGCTTAGGACTTTTGATTCATCAGGGCTGGGGATGACTTTACATTCCCCCCAAATTGCCATTTTGGGCAGGATTTACATAACTGAGATTCCAGCTTTCTCTGGCCTAGTTTTGCCATTTTCTCTACTCCCTCTTGCTTTTAAAGCACACATGCATTGAGTGTGCACACACATGCATACGCACACACACACATTTCTTTCCTAATGGTACAAGTTATACATGCTTCATGGAGAACACTTGGAAAGCAAAGGAAAGCACCACGCGGGGGTGGGGGTGGGAAAGGAACTGGAAAGCAAAAAAATCACAAGAGAAAATCACTACACATTTTGGCAAAGATTGTTCTAATATTTTTCCTCCTATCCAGCTATCATCTATCTATCCTCTATTCTTTATTTTATTATTATTATTATTATTATTATTTTGAGACAGAGTCTCGCTCCGTTGGCCAGGCTGGAGTGCAGTGGCACAATCTCGGCTCACTGCAACCTCTGCCTCCCAGGTTCAAGTGATTCTCCTGCCTCAGCCTCCCAAGGAGCTGGGACTACAGGCATGTCCCAACACACCCAGCTAATTTTTGTATTTTTTGGCAGAGATGAAGTTTCACCATGTCTGCCACACTGGTCTCAAACTCATGACCTCAAGTGATCCACCCATCTCAACCTCCCAAAGTGCTGGGATTACAGGCGTGAGCCACCACCATGCGTAGCCTACTTATCCTTTTTTAAAAAGTATCACAGATTACATGCAATTTTGTTGCCTGAATTTATACCTTTCCATTTTTACAAATAATGTGTTGTATTTTGTGATAATAATAACAACTACTACTTATTACATACTGAAATTCAGTGCTTAATTCAGAGCCTTTGTAATCAGAGGGATCTGGGTTCAAATCTCAGTAGGACTCATTTTTCATTGCGTCTTTGGGCAAATGACCTAACTTTGAGGAGCCTGGGTTTCTTATTCTATAAAATGGTGATAAAACTGTTATCTGCCTCAAAGGGAGGATTGCTGCAAGGATCAAATAAAATTCTGGCAAATAAAGAAAAGCCCGGGAAATGCTTACGTCCATAGTAAGTGTTCAATAAATTACAGTTCATATTCTTACCACGTGTGCAGTGGTGATGTATGTAGGACATTTGTCTGTGTTTTTCTTTTTTGTGATGGTGCTATGTGCAGCATTCTCTCTAAACCAGAACTTTGGGCCCCACAGTATTTGATTCACGGTAAGCAGCTAGATGATTTTAAACTTCTATCTTCCCCCAAGAACACTCGACAAAATTGGCAGTCTGTAATATGCAAAAATCCACCCAGAAATGGAAGAGAGGGACATTTGCACAAGCTGGGTTGTGTCTACAGAATTAGAAGACACAGTTGGACTAATTTTAGTGCCTAAAAATTGGAAACATTGGAATCATGCTCTATGGGAAATGCAAGTTCTTGAAAGTGGCAAAAGGAAACACCAGGAATGGTTGAATTTGAGGCCATTCCCTCAAGGTTTGGGCACCGTCTTCATCTGTGGGTAGACTCTATTTGGCTGGAAGCTAAAAAGGTTAGGCAGGGGGAAAGGGTTAAGCATCTTTCAAGTCCTCAGGTTAGGAATGAGAGATCTTGTTCACATTGCCTCTTCATTGTCTTGATTTTCCCAGCTATCTGCTTTCCTTTGTCTTGCCATAGATAATTTTGATCCTGTGACCAGGCTCTTTGGTATTTTGTCCTTTGGGATTTCTGAGAGGCGCGGGCCCCTGTGATTGACCTCACGTGGGCAGACTGCACACAACTCACTTTGTATCTGAGGAGCAGAGTGGGGGCCTAGCTCCCTTTCGTGCAGCCAATCAAGCCAGGGCTGAGAATTTATGAGATGAAGGCGAACCACTTTGAAGAAAGGCGCCCTTGTCTGCCGCTCCGCCATTGCTCCGTGGTGTGCGTGGGGAGGTGGAGAGGGGTGGGCACGGGGAGAGGGGCTGGCGCCCTGGGGATGGATAGGGGAAGAAAAGAATCCGAGAAACCAGGGTCAAAAGTCTTTCTGTGAACAGGAAAGAAAACTGAGCAGCCTGCCTTCCTCCTTGCAGGTGTGTGCTCACAATGGGGGAGCCACAGGCCCTTCCCAAAGGTCAGGGAGGAAGGAGCGCATCACAGCGGCTGCCTGTATTCACCCCCAATCCTCCCACTCCTTGGAGACTGAAGAACTAGAGAGAGCCAGGAAGGCAAGATCACTTCTAGAAGCAATCCTGGCCACCAGTAATCTAGATGCAATAGTAACTCCGCCAAGTCAGAGAGGCATAGCTTCAAATTCTGGGCTTCTGCCTGGGGAGAGCAATTGCTTCATTTCCCTGAGCGTCAGTTTCCTCATCTGTGAAAAGGGGTGGTTAACAACAGAACCTCCTTCCTCCTTCATCAGGCTGTTGGGAGAAATTTGTAGAAAGCAGTCAGCACAGTGCCTGATATACAGTAAGTGCTGAACAAGTAGAAGCTACTATTAATAGCAATCATATTTGGTTTCAAAAGAGATATTCTGCTTTCATTAAAGCCAAAAATAAAGGCCATTCATTCAGTCGTTTTTTTTTTTTCGTTCATTTGTTCAGGCAATCAATAAACTTTTTTTTTTTTTTTTTTTTTTTTGAGACGGAGTCTCGCTCTCTCGCCCAGGCTGGAGTGCAGTGGCCGGATCTCAGCTAACTGCAAGCTCCGCCTCCCGAGTTCACGCCATTCTCCTGCCTCAGCCTCCCGAGCAGCTGGGACTACAGGCCCCCGCCACCTCGCCCAGCTAGTTTTTTTGTATTTTTAGTAGAGACGGGGTTTCACCGGGTTAGCCAGGATGGTCTCGATCTCCTGACGTCGTGATCCGCCCACCTCGGCCTCCCAAAGTGCTGGGATTACAGGCTTGAGCCACCGCGCCCGGCCGCAATCAATAAACATTTAACAGGGCCTGCTATGTGTTGGTGACTTTAATGAATTAGATAATAATAGTAGCTAACGCTTGCTGGGTGTTAGGCTCTGTTTTATTTTTATTTTTCAAGACAGAGTCTCACTCTGTCACCCAGGCTGGAGTGTACTGATGTAATCATAGCTCACTGCAGCCTCAACCTCTCTGGCTCAAGCAATCCTCCCACCTCAGCCTTTTAAGTAGCTGGACTACAGGCACACACCCCCATGCTTGCCTAATCTTCTCTGACTTTCTGTAGAGGTGAGGTCTTACTATATTGCCCAGGCTGGTCTCAAACTCCTGAGCTCAAATGATCCTCCGAAAGTGCTGGGATTATAGGCATGAGCCGCCACACCCGGTCCCTGTTAGGCTCTGTTTTAAACTCTCCATATGTCTTAATTTATATAAGCTTCACGACCACACGGTGAGGTAGGTACAAAGAAGTTTATCATGGCCACGTCACACAGCTAGTAAGATTAGGAGCTATCATTTAAACCCAGGTGTGCCTACTGCCCAGGTCTATGTGGTAAGCACCTTGCTAGTCCAAAACTAATAAATAAAACATGACTCCTGCCCCCTAGGGCACCACTGTCCACTAGAACTTTCTGCAATTATAGAAATATTCCATATCTGCACTGTCAAATATGGTACCCACTGTTGGTAGCTACTGAGGACTTGAAATGAAGCTAGTGTGATAGAGAAACTGAATTTTAAATTTCATTTAATTTGTACTAATTGCAACATAGATTTAAATAGCCACACATGGCCACTGCCAGCATATTGAACAGCCTAGCTCTACTCAGAGTCTAGTGGAGGAAATTCACTTTCACTAAGGTGATGAGGTTATGCTATGTGGCCTTGTTCAAGCCTTAAGAACACAGGAGGACACAGCTGTGGTGTGGAGTGTGGCCTGGGATCACAGGAGGCTTCCCAGAGACAGTCATCTCTGATCTGAGTCTGCAGGAAGGAGGGGTTGGTAGGAGAGGAAGGGAGGTATTTTTAAATATGTCCAAATATGTTGGATTTCACAACAGGGTCCGTGCTCAGCCAGGACTTTGGTGGAGATTGAAACTTGTAATCAAGAGCCAGAGTCCTCTTTGAGCTACAAGATAACCAGCACTTACCCCTGAAGGATGAAACCGTATTGGATTCAGAAATTTGTCTACTGTTCTTCTTGGCTGCAGGTATTGCTTGTTTTTTACTTTTAACCATCACCTTTCTGAGGACATAAAAACACCTGAAAAGTGAATTTGAAAAATTCACTGGTTAGTTTGAATGCTTTGTTAATATGTGAAGCAAAATGTCCAAGAACCCCAAACCAGCTCTAGGCAGACAAAAGAGTAGTAATAATCATAAGGATAATGAGGATAATAATGAAAAACTCTTACTACTTATTAAGACACTTACTTTGTGCCAGACCCAAAGTTAAGTGCTTTTGCGTATTGATCGTCTCACATACTCCTACAATCTATTCTCTGCATAGCAGCTAGAGTGGCCTTTTTAAGACATAAACCCTAAATCAGATCATGCTAGTCTGCTGCTGAAACCCCTTAAGTGCTTCACATTGTTCTTAGAATAAAATCCAAGTTCCTTGCCCAGGCCTGCAAGGCCTGACCGCAGCCTACAAATGCTCCCATTCTCCACCTGCTCACCAAGCTCCAGGCACGTAAGACCCCTCTCTGCTGTAAAGCTCCAAGCTTTTGTCTGCCCCAGGGCCTTTGCACTTGCTGTTCCTCAGATTGGCAACTCAGCTCCCCACCCTAACCCTCTACTAGAATGAAATATGTCAAAGATCAGGGACCTTGTCTCTTAGGTCACTGTTGCATCTCCAGCCCCCTAGGTCAATTTGTCATACGATTGAAAGAATTTGAATCCTATGTTATGAGGCATTGAAATCAATGCAAATTAAATAAATTTAAAATTCAGTATGAGGTATTATGAGGCATTATTATCCTCATGTAACAGATGAAGACATTGAAGGTGAGAGTGGTTAATTTGCTCAAAGCTTGTGAACTTCCCACTATATACCTGGAGGACTCCAACTATTTGCTACTTGTCAGCCATGCTGAGGCTGCACAGCCACCTGGAGAGACGGAAGATCCTTCAGGATGTGGTTTTCCTTCCCCCACTCTGCAAACAGCCCTGCTATGCCTCACTTAGTCCTTCATTGCCAGAATCTGTCTATATAATGAGAAACCTTAGCCTGCAAAACTACTCAGTTCCCTTCTGGCTTTTACCTTATGTTTTTCTTTGATTATAAAATGAGTATTATAGAAAGAATGGAAAGTAGAGAAAAAAGATAAGGAAGCTGGTGGAAAACCCACTCATGATCTCACTACCCAGAAGCAATTCTGTTAGCATTTTGGTTTCTTTTTTTTTTTTTTTTTTTAAGACGGAGTCTGGCTCAGTTGCCCAGGCTGGAGCACAATGGCGCCCTATTGGCTTACTGAAAACTCCATCTCCTGGGTTTGAGCGATTCTCTTGCCTCAGCCTCCTGAGTAGCTGGGATTACAGGCGCATGCCACCATGCCGAGCTAATTTTTGTATTTTTAGTAGAGACAAGGTTTTGCCACGTTGGCCTGGCTGGCTTCAAACTCTTGACCTCAGGGGATCTGCCCACCTCGGCCTCCCAGAATGCTGGGATTACAGGTATGAGCCACTGACCCAGCTTCCTTTTTTTTAGAGGTGGGGTCTCACTATGTTGCCCAGGCTACCCTCAAACTCCTGGCCTCAGGGGCTCCTCCTTCCTTGGCCTGCCAAAGTGCTGGGATTATAGGTGTGAGCCACTGCACCTGGCCAAACACAGTTTTGTTTTGTTTTTTTCAGATAGAGTCTTGCTCTGTTGCCCAGGCTGGAGTGTAGTGGTGGGGTCTCAGCTCACTGCAGCCTTTGCCTCCTGGGTTCAAGTGATTCTTGTGCCTCAGCCTCCCAAGTAGCTGAGATTACAGATGTGCGCCACCATGCCTGGCCAGTTTTTGTATTTTTAGTAAAGACGGGGTTTCACCATGTTTTCCAGGCTGGTCTAGAACTCCTGACCTCAAGTGATCGGCTCACCTTGCCTCCCAAAGTGCTGGGATTAAAAACACGAGCCACTGCGCCCAGCCCAAGCACAGTTTTTAAGGCCGTGTTGACTCTCAGTAAAATCCCCTTGGTTGCCTTGTTACCTACCTTCACAGTCACTAACTCTTCCCAGGATGCAACTGCTGCCACTGCCCCTTCCACTGCAACCAGGATGTAGGGTGGAAAAGGGCCCAGAATCTGGAGGTCAGAAATCAAGTTTCAAAGACTTAACTATGTGCCCTTAGACCAATCACGTCTCATCTTCTCTGCAGAATGAAGATGATAGTCCTTGCCTCCAAGAACAGTGAAAGGCAAATAAAGGATCAGATGGGGAGAGTGTGTAGTAAACTCAAAAGTGCTATAAAATTGTTTGGAATTCCTACAATCCAATGAGTTATGACCACAGCGGTTATTTAAGAAGACTTAAAGGTTAGCAGAGCCAATGTTCTCCAGCCCAAATCCTCAAAAGACTTGCTCTTGTTATGAGATGATATATATAAAATGGATTAGTGGGTCCTCTCCTTGCAGTAAATCCTTGGGGGTTTGAGAGAGTGGGTGTACCTGGCTTGCTAGCTGCCCATCCAGCATCCATGCCTTACCGCCCTCTGTCCTAACAGAAACCCTGTTTGGAGCCAGACACTTAGGCTCATGCCTGTAATCCCAGGACTTTGGGAGGCCAAAGCGGGAGGATCAATGGAGTCCAGGAAATTGAGGCTGCAGTAATCCATGATCACACCACTGCACTCCAGCCTGGGCGACAGACCAAGATCCTAAAAATTAAAACCCAATCAACCAAATGAAAACCGTGTTTGGGTCCGGCATTCACCCAGTCCCCATTCAGAATGGGACACCGGGCAAACTGACTCTGCCCTCAGCTGCAGGAGTGGGCCTGATTGGTCAAAAATAATCCCTCCCATTGCTGGTGATTGGTTCTGGCAGAGGTCATGTGACCCATTCTGGTCACTGAGATGGGGGACGTATGTCAGATAGGGAATGATCTGGTTCCTAATAAAGTATCCCTGGAAGATATAGAGAGAGTTCTATCTATCTATCTATCTATCTATCTATCTATCTATCTATCTATCTACTTTTTTGAGGCAGAGTTTCACTTCTTCACCCAGTTTGGAGAGCAGTGGCTGTGATCTAGGCTGACTGCAACCTTCGCCTCCGAGGTTCAAGTGATTCTTCTGCCTCAGCCTTCAGAGTAGCTGGGATTACAAGCGTGCACCACCATACCCAGCTACTTTTTGTATTTTTAGTAAAGACGGGGTTTCACCATATTGGCCAGGCTGGTCTTGAACTCCTGACCTCAAGTGATCCACCCGCCTTGGCCTCCCAAAGTGCTTGGATAACAGGCATGAGCCACCATGCCCGGCCGAGATTTTTTTTCTCCTTTCTCTGGCTGCCACTCCTTAAAGTGCTGCAGCCCTCTTGCTACCAGACTGGCAATGAAGCCAATACGGAGAGGGGAAGTGCAGAGAGTGGATGGTAGTAATAACAAAAGCCACAAACATTTATTGAGCATTTAGAACTTGCCAGAGAGTATTCTAAATGTCTGATTTCCTTTAGTTCAGGGAGAGGACCCTGCCTGTTTTCATGGCCCATTAACTAGTTTTTGCATTTTTTAAATGGTTAAATAAAAATCAGGCTGGCCATGGTGGTGGCTCATACCTGTAATCCCAGCAATTTTGGGAGCCCAAGGTGAGAGGACCACTTGAGCCCAAGAGTATGAGACCAGCCTGGGCAACACAGTGAGACCCTGTCTCTACATAAAAATAAAAAATCATCTGGGTGGAGGCTGAGGCGGGAGGATCATGTGAGCCCAGGATTTCAAGGCTGCAGTGAGCCTTGAATATACTCACAAAACCCACATAAGTTGTTGTTATTATTATCCAGTTTTTCACAAATGAGAAAGCTGAGGCTCAGAGACATAATGCAATTGTTCAAAGTCACATAGCTATCAAGAGGTTAGCTATTCAATATCATACTGGCTTTGGAACCAGTGCTTTTAATCACTTTGGGGAAAAAAACCCAATTCCCAGCGTCACTGTTGAGACGTCGAGTCAACCAACCCTAAACTCACCTCACCTTTAAACTTCTAGGTTAAAGGGGCATATGACATTACTGTATTATTGAAACCAGTTTGAAACTGCATTTCTGCTCTTTGCAGGTGAAAGCATCCCCTTGGATGCCATGAGAAAGCACGTAAGAAAGGTAAGAGCAAAAAGGTAAGGCAAGCTATCAGCTTCTTGGACCAGCAGCCTTTTGTCCTTGCTTGGAGAATAAAAGCTTTCTTTTTCCAAGCACTTCAAGGCTCCACAAGGTCCCTTTAAAAGGGATTATGAAGGAAATCCTATTTTAGAATTGCTGCTGATTTTGGCAATTTGCAATATTAGCCTGATGAGGAATTACACTCACTAATAAAATATCTCAAGTTGGGTTGAACCTAATTGTTGCAAGTGTTAGTAGTAATAGCCTGTCACGGGGACTTCTGTGCCGGCGCATCCCTCGCTTGGCTACAGCCCATGTGGAAAATCAATTTCCTCTAAATGTTTGAAGAATGGCACAGAAGGACCTGATTTCTTTTCCCTCTGCTGGAGTCAATCTGGAGACAACGAACTTATAAAATGAATGAAAATAGCTATGGTTGCAGGATGCAGGGTGAATGCCGAGTTAAGCAAAGCCCCATCTAAAGCTCAAAGTTCTAGCCTTTTTGTCCTGAGGCCAGAGACAATATACGTTTGTGTCCCGAACTGACGTGCTGCTAAAAAGTCAAAGAAAAGAAAGAATTTTCCTTCAGCCCAGCAATTTCACTTCTAGGAATCACTCCCACAGAAAAACTCCCACCAGTATGCAAGAATATATGAACAGGGTGTTCCTCACAGCCTGGCTTGCAATGGTGAAAAATTGGAGGCAAGATAATTATCTGACAAGAGTGGACCGGTTAAATAAATGGTCATATATCCATGCTTTGTAGCCATTAAGAAGAAAGAGATAATCTATATGTATTCCTGTGGAAAGCTTTTTCTGATATGGTATTGAGTTTAAAAAAAAGCAAGTTTCAGCCAAATATATATATATTATATATATAATATATATATATGCACTATATATATAGTATATAGAGTATATATAGTTGCAGCACTACATATAGTATGAGTTCATTTTTGTAAAAAA